AAAAAACTATGTTATGCAGAAAAAGAAACTGAACAACTTCTGCCACAGGGTTACATAGAAATTCTTTACCAAAAATCAAATAAAAATAAAAATTGAAAAAACATATATATGATACATGCGGCATCACGTGCGTGCAAGTTGGCGCATGTGCGCCGGATAGCGCATCCACACGCGTGCGCGCGCACGTGATGCAGCACATTTACAAAAGAATTAAAAAAAAAAAAAAGTGTAGGCAATGGTAACCAAAAGTGCCCCTCCCTTTTGAAAATTAAACTCCCCAGAAAAATAAAAATAAAAATTGGGGCCACTTCATACTACTCATTGGATCTATTTTTCTTTTCCAGAAGGTCCCCTGCAAAGAATCAGCAGGGTTCCCATACTTCTGGAAGGATGCTCATTGAACTGCAGGCGGACCACGAGCGGGCCAGCAATATATCTTGGATTCGGATTCAGGTCTGTGTTCCAAGAGTTATGGGTTACCAAAGTACTACAAACACCACAGTAGCTTTCTCTTTTTTTTTTTTTTTTCAAAAACCTGCGACCTCTACTAGAAGGGGTGATAAGAGCGTCCGCCTCTAGTAGCTGTCCCTGGTCGCTCCATCTGGAAACCGGGTTCAGCTCCACCTCTAGTAGCTGTCTCGTTTCTTTGTTTTTCCTTTTCTTACGTGCAGTGGCCCTAAGGGCCTCGCTCCACTCATCACAAAAGAAGAGTCCGAAAAACATGTGGTTTGTATGGTTCCAGCTTCTAGGAGAAAATTCATTCTAGTTTTGCACATTTGGTGAGTAGTGGAGTGACGTCCTGAAAATCACGGATGCCGACGATGCCGAGTTAGTAAGTCAGTAACCCATAACGGCTGAAACACGGACCTGAAATCGAAGCTACACCATATATAGCTGGCCTGCCCCCTCCTTACTACAAGTCCAGTGCCTACCCTTCTCTTGCCGACGGGGCCCTTGCCAAATTTTGGCAGGGACCTTTTGAAGTACCAGCAGGGGTTGTCTGAAAAATTTGAAAGGGCTCCTTGCTCTCTCTCTCTCTCTCTCTCTCTCTCTCTCTCTCTCTCTCTCTCTCTCTCTCTCTCTCTCTCTCTCTCCAGCGTGTATACACACATCACAGTTGCTTCTTCCTCTTCTTCTTCTTCCTCTTTCTTTCTTTCTTTCTTTCTTTCTTTCAACTTCTTTGTTTGCTTTTGTTTTTTTGTTTGTTTGTTTGTTTTTTTTTTTTCCCGCGAATCAGCTCAGAGCGCACCGCACTGCGCAGCACACTTCATCTTTGCGCCGCAAGTATTATATATCATCTTACAGAGGCATACATATTTTTTGGCCCGGCCGGGCAAGTGGTCCCGGGCCACTCTGGTAGCCTAGGCCGCGGGCATTTCGGCCGCTGCGGCCGAGATTCTCGGCCGCGGCCGCGGCCTATGAGGCCCAGTCCGCGGCCTGTTTTTTTAATTATTTTTTTTTACCCCTAAAAATACGTGAAAAAATAAATAAATTATGGAGGTGTAGGGCTTCGAAAACTCTACACCCCTATATTTTTTTGTTTTGGAATCCGACTTTGTTTAGGATTTTTAAAAAATCAAAAACTAAAATCGATTTAAACAAAATTAAAAAATATATATATCGTCACAAACAGAACTGCCCGGTAAAACCGTAGGCAGAGAGAGAGAAGAGGACAACAAAAGAGGGGCTGTGACAAACTGTTTCGTCGGAGTTTCACCGACTCATCAGGAGGCTGAACCCTCAACAGTCTGCAGAATCCCCTCACTGATTACATAAAGAAAAACAAGAATCTTTTTTTGCCATTTTTTATCATGAGATATATGGCCCCCGAGTCGACCTGTTTTTTTTTTTTTTAATGAATCTGTTTTTTTGCAGGGAAATGAGGTGT